GGTGGATAAGGCTAAAGCAACTGATGTCATCTACCTGGACTTGTGCAAGGCGTTTGACACTGTCCCACATGGCATCTTTGTCTTTAAATTGGAAACATGTGGGTTTGATGGATGGACCACTCAGTGGATAAGGAACTGGCTGGATGGTCGCACTCAAAGAGTTGTGGTGAACAACTGAAATTCTGAGTGGTGTCCCTCAAGGGTCGGTATTGGGACCGGTGCTCTTCAACATCTTTGTCAGTGATATGGACAGTGGGATTGAGTGCACCCTCAGCAAGTTTGCCAGCGATACCAAGCTGAGTGGTGCGGTTGACACCGCTGGAGGGAAGGGATGCCATCCAGAGGGACCTTGACGAAGTGGGTGTGTACTAACCTCGCAAAGTTCAACAAGGTCAAATGCAAGGTCCTGCACCAGGGTTGGGGCAACCCCAAGTACAAATACAGGCTGGGCGATGAGTGGCTTCAGACCAGCTCTGAAGAGAAGGACTTGGGAGTGGTGGTGGACGAAAAGCTGAACATGAGCCGGCAATGTGCGCTTGCAGCCCAGAAGGCCAACCGTATCCTGGGCTGCATCAAGAGAAGCATGGCCAGCAGGTCGAGGGAGGTGACTCTCTCCCTCTACTCCACTCTCGTAAGGCCCTACCTTACGATCTTATAGCAGCCTTCTAATACTTGAAGGGGGCCTACAAGAAAGCTGAGGAAGGACTTTTCATAAGGGCAGTTAATGACAGAACAAGGGGAAATGGGTTTAAGCTGAAAGAGGGTAGGTTTAGATTTGATATAAGGAAGAAGTTCTTGACTGTGAGAGTGGTCAGACACTGGAACAGGTTGCCCAAGGAAGTCGTGGATGCCCCCTCCCTGGAAGTGTTGAAGGCCAGGTTGGATGAGGCTTTGAGCAACCTGGTCTAGTGTCCCTACTGATGGCAGGGGGGTTGGAACTAGATGATCTTTAAGGTCCCTTCCAACCCAAACCATTCTATGATTCTATGAAATATCATATATTTTCATAATGCTTTAGAAAAATTTCATAATCTCGTCTTTCTATTTTTCACAGGTATACTATAAGGAATTTTTGTTGAAGATTATGGTTAATTTATTGCAATCTAACCATTGTCTAAGCAGATGTATTTACTAGTGTCTTTTTACTCAGTAGAATATGCTCTTCTTTCAGTAAATGAAGTGTTAGCCTATGATCAAAACACAAATTTTTAGTAAACAAGGCCCTGAAGGAAACTGCATCAATGAAAATACAAAGGTTGACAGTCTTGAATTCAAAGTCACTATTCCATTTCAAGTGCTTTTTGCAGTCAGATTCGGAGCTCAATCTTCAAATTTCACTTGACAAAGACTCATGAATCCTTTTCCATTATCATGTTTAAGAAAAAGAAAACTGTCCATCAGCACTACAATGAATGACATATGAGAGCAAGTACATAAATTCTTGTTCCTAGTTCTCAATTACAACAGAACAACCATTTATTCTTTTGCGTCTAGCTTAATAAAACAGGTAAACTGAGAACCTTCAGTATGCTTTCTCAGCAAAAGTCATCTGTAAGAGCCCTTTTATTTAACATGGTCAAGGTCATGAAAATCTTTTGAGGATAAATGATTCTGAGTTAGTGGTTCAACACAGGTTGTATCTAAACAGCCAGTCTGAGGCATGCCTCCAGTCTCTAAGGGTTTGATGACTCTGTGGTCACATCTGAACCCCATCTTAGCTTAAAATTCTAGATATTCATCACCTTTCCCATGCCCTGGGGTTCATGACAAGGAAACCAAAATTTATGGATCAAGAAGAAACTGGTGCCCATTAGCCAGATGCCAAATTTGAGTGGTGTTAAAATGAGTATGATTAAATCAGTTATAAAGGGGTGAACCTGCTCCATGTTTTGCATATAACTAATTATGTTGAAAACCTTTGACTTTTAGTTGTTAATATTTTAAATGGTTCCAAACTCCTTAGCACTGAAAATTCTCTCTTGTACTGACAAGGGGAATTAATTCTGTATAATTTAGGGCTTAAATACTCTGACAGAACTCAGAGCAGGAACTCAAAACTGTTCCTCCTGTATCAGAACAATGTCCCAGTCACATTCTAAATAAACTATCCATTTGATACATGCAGACTATTATGCATTATGAAAATTTTCAAAAGGCACGGGTTCTGTTCCAAATAAAAGTTAAAATGATTTTTCAGTTTCAAAAGCTATTACAAAATATGCTGAGGAGATCCAATAAGGAAATGTGCCCTTTACACCCCATAGTTACTCCTTTCCCACTCTGGGGCCTCACATTCTACACTGAGCTGTAGGGTCGATAAACGTGAAGCAAAATGATGAGATTACTGAAGTCAACAAGTACATATATTATTTGCATTCAAAACTTAATGTGTTGTAGGAGAAGCAGGTTGACTAAAATTTGTTGCGATTTTTTCACACTAAATTTTTCAATCATTATCCAGGCTTTTAGAGATCTTGATATCTTTTGTTCTAAACTCAAAACAAATTAAGAAAAAAAATTAGAAAATTAATTATATGATAGAAATTACTGTTCCCAGAATATTCAGCTGTGGATGCTTGCCACATTAAGAAATTAAGTTATTGCTATTAAAAAAAGTAGTGTTACATACTGTTAACATTAACAGAACTATTTTATTGTCATGAACAAATGCAGCTGAACTGCAGTGGTCTCCAGGGCTCAGCTTCATCAGAGGAATCATCATCATAAAGTTCATCTTAGCAAGACAACAGAGGATACAGATCATCCTGGAAGGAAATTGAAAATGTCTATCAATTTATTTCAGAATAAATAATACAGGCTTATACCACAGAACGGCTTTTCATCTTTTTAGTATTTCAACAGAAATAGAACACCACTCCCTCTCATATTTACACTTAGCATTGCTGAGTACAAAAAAATATATATAAAACTTACAAAGCACTCGTGTCATTGGTAATAATAAAAAATTTAGATAAAGTATTTATTATATGATAATGTATTATTATATATAAAACCTTTGCATTGTTTTCAGCAAAAGTTTATGGGAGCTGATAAAACAATTAAATAAAGTAGGTACTTACATTCATTCCCTTCACTTCAAAGTGGCTGAAGCATCTTTTTTTCAGGTTTACCATACTTTTATATGTCTATTATATCAATACTTTAAAACTGAGCCATGGCTGGTTCAAAATGTGACAGTACCTTTTTTTAAATATTAGTATCCAAGAATGCTCACTGGTGACAGGCTTCACTGTAGAATGAAAACAAGGAATGACTAAAATGAATATTCCTCCCCAAATGTGGCTTATTTTTCTGTTTTGTACTTACAGCTGAAATCAGATTTAGACAAGCAGGATGAGAACCTAAAATACATTTTGATTGGGGAGGGAGCTGGAAGCATTTTTATCATTGATGAAAATAATGGCAAAATTTACGTGACACAAAAGCTGGATCGAGAAAAGAAACCTTTCTACACTCTAAGAGCACAAGTGGTTAACAGGAGCACTCAACTTCCTGTTGAACCTGAATCAGAATTTATTATCAAGGTTCGAGATGTCAATGATCATGAACCACAGTTCTTGGATGAACCTTATGTGGCCACTGTTCCAGAGATGTCTCCTGAAGGTACAACATGCTGTGAACAAAAATCTTTATTTCCTGGTTTATTTTGTTTAGGATTTTTTTTGGTTGTTTTTTTTTTTTTTTTTCCTTCTAGATAGCTATGTTGATATAAAATCTTAACAGCATATTTTATAGACTGCCTTTCAGTGAGAAGGAAGAAAACTATTTTACAAGCTTGGAAATTTGCAAAGGTATATGCTTTAACTGAAGGTTGTGCATACCTCTACTTAATATTCTTGCCCTTCATGTTTAGGCACCTATATGTATCCAAGTCTTTTTACAGAAACTGGATTAATGTTTGAATTGTCTATATAGACTTGTCTTTCTCATCAGTGATTCAGCCTTGAAATTGTTGCTTGTTTAAAATTATAACATTACCACTCGAAACACGCAGAATACTATATTCAGTTGATACCGCAAAGGAGATTTGGGCCTGACAGGTTTCACCACTTTTTCAATCAGTATAGCACCCTAGTCTCTGGAAAATTGTTCAGTGTATGATTATTGTTACAACCCGTCAGCTTTTCAGGCTTCTGACAATCTGAAACAAGGACTTTTAAGGACATAAATATAAGCTTGGATGAACTGAAAAGTACTCAACAGCATTTTTTAGTCTACTCTGATTCTACTTAATAATTAAACAATATGTCTTTATTGTAACCTGTATTGTGTAAATCATATTGTACTGTAACTGGAAAAGGATCACAGTCACATCACAGGCACTCATGATTTCTGCCCCAAATATAGGGCTAGTTTCCTTCCTACAAGTAGTGGGCTTATGTAATGACGACCCTCACACCATGTATGATGCCTACCGATTTGCATTACCAAGCCTCTCTCCTGTCAGTGAGCTTCTCCTTGTTTGAATTAGATGGTGTGCAGCGAAGGACTGCCTTTTGATTTCCTAAGCACATGAATTGTAATTTTTCTGTCAAGAGGAACAACTTAATCCCTGCATTTCTTCTTTCCTACCTCCATACGATCAAACAGACCTGTACTAGGATCTGTCATGTATCTGAAAACTTATAACAAATGTGAAGGAATGTCAACATCTGACAAATATAGGTGTATATATACATATCTGTGTACATATACATATGCATACATAATGTGTATACACATACATTTAAATCCTTAAAAATAAACAAAGTGTGAATGCAGCTGACATAAACAAGCGTGTTATAGATACTGCTATCTCCAAATAACTATCTCCAAAATCAAAGGAAATCTGGATTCTTTAAATCTTACAAAAAGAATCCTGGTAATATTTTAAATTTGTACCCCTATCTCTTTCGGTTATTTCTATTGCAAATAATATTGAAAAGAAACTCAAATATTGTGCTACTTAAAACTGTGTGACTTAATGAGGTCATTAACACAATAGTATCAGTGACCATAAAAGGTAATAAAAACTATGTTTCATTCAGCATTATCTGTTCAACTTCTGGGGCAGATTCAGTGAATCTTTCACAGGGAGCTGTAAACTTTATCTTCTGTCAGCCTGGAGAGCAGCTGCAAGAAAAGGATATTCATGCCTGGGGTTTAATCAAAAGTGGGGTTATTATCCTAATTTCTGACAGGAAGCAGTAGCTAACCATCACTACCAGCAATAACTACAAAAGACATCCATTTAATCAATTTATTTCCTAGTCACTCTGCTTATACCACCAGGGAAATCAGTTTTGAGTGTATGATTGTTTCTTTATTGCAGCTTTCTTCCATGCAGACCTAACTTATTTGTCTCAAGACTTTTGCATCTGAGCTCTTGGTCAAATAACTTTTTCTTACATAATCAGCTGCATGTTCAGAAGGTACTTCTAGCCTTTGAACCTTTCTCATTCACTCAGGTTTGGAGATGAGAAGACAGTGTGGGGACCGCACTTCTGAAGTGAAAACTCTTTCAGTGTGCATCCTAAAGCATTAATCCTTACAAGGAAATTTCTAACCTTTCAGTAGGTAGAAATAGTAAACAACTAAAATTTACAACATTGATGCATTAAATCAGTGTTTTTCTCCTAGTGTGGTGGTTTAAGCCTTTTGGTTTGCAGCCTGCTCTCTCACTCTCCTCCCCCTCTCCAGGGAGTAGGGGAGAGAATTGGAAGGAAAAGGGCAAAAGGACTCATAGGTTGAGATAAAGACTATTTACTAATTAAAAGAAAATGACAGTTATGATAACAGTAATAACAGAATATACAAATAAGTGATGCACAGTGCAATTGCTCACCACCCACCAACCGATGCCCAGCCTGTCTCCAGCCAGCGATCCCGGAGCAGAGACAGTCCCAAAACCAAAACCACAATCCCAGAAGAACAAGTCCGAGCAATGCCCTAGAGAATACCCCCAATTTCCAGTCAACCCTGGTTAGTATACTGAATATGATGTGATACGATATGAAATATCATATCAGCATATTCAAATGCCAATTTTGGGTTTTGCTATTCACTACACTTCTTCCCTCCCAGTCCTAATGCAGCTGTGAACCAGCCAAACATGATGACCTTGGGCTCCAGCAGCAACTAACAACATTAGTGCTTATTAACATTCTTCTCATAACAAATCCCATACTGAAACTAAAGCACAGCTATTCTAGCTAACAAGAAAATTAACTCTATCTTAGCAAAACCAGGACACCCAGTAAAATAGGTACTGGGTACTCTAAGGTAAAATAGGTACTCTTGCATAGTAAAGATGTAGTTTAAATGCTACAGTGCAATAGAGAGACTTGGCTTTTGCTCTGTTTCAGAATATTTTCTCTGGAGCTAAGAAAGCAATGAGACAATAATTCAAATCTGGCCACTTGCCTCAGAGAACCACAGAAAACCAGACAATAGGCACAGATAATTTTGCCTATACTTAGGTACAAATACCAATATATATATTAAAGTGCAAACAAATTGGGATACATTTTACTTCTTTCTTAGCTGTCTTTTAATCTTGGTAATAAATTTTATTAGGATTTTATATGCAAGTGTCACAGTAAATGGAAAGTGTGTCAGCAAATGGACTCTTCAGAGAACACAGGACTATGGTTTTCCCTCAGGCATTTGGTACCATTTTACGTTAAGTGTCTTCCATATAGCTGTTAAACTTGTACAAATGCAGTATATCTGATGGACAGGTTATGAATCAGATACAATAATATATCAGTACTTTATGTTTTTGTAGATTTCAAGCTCTACTTAGAAAAATGAATAACTATTTGCCATATGAGGGCCCTATAGTTTGCCTAATGGACTGCAATATATAAGTAGCACGACTATGTTTTGCCCAAGAAGGGTAAAACCAAGGCTGCAGGAATACAAAGAAAAATCTTATTCAGCAATCAGCAAATTGTAGTTTGCCTTAAATAAAGCTAATAAAAAGAAAGAAAATGTGTAAGCATGTTTACCAACCAGCTTAAGACATTATTGTGTATATAAAACACATATTTGGGACTAAATTTATACCAACAACACACAGACTCCCATGTTAAAAAATGCATGTTTGAAAGCTCACAGATATATGCAGTTAATTCATCTCTGCCATTATATCCATTTGAACATGCATATTGGGAAACTGTATCATGGTTGGATTGTCAATTATATTATGTCATGGCTGGGCTGTCAAGATGTGGGGTTTGGGGGTTTTTATTGTTTGTTTGTATGAGGAGGTGTTAGGTGTTAATTGATTGTTTTAAAAGATATTATTCATATCTGATCAATTATTTTTCTCCCAAACATGGAGTTAAAAAAAAAAAAAAAAAAAAAAAAGGCTTTTTGGAGTTTTTGAATATGTAATTTTAACATTCTAATTCCTATCACTCAAATACAAATGTTTAGGTAAACTTGATTACACTCAACAAACAGCTTGCTTTGTTTGCTGCAGTTTAAATGTATAAAGAAATAGAGGTTTCATGGTAGTGAAAAATTAAAAACTGAAAAAATATTCTAAACCTGGGATAATGTTTTCCTTCTGCTTATTACATAGTCCATATTTAAGGTAGAGGTTCATGTAGTGATCATGAAATCTTTGTCCTAAAAAATGTGAGAAACCATAGTCATCTCTTTACATGGTCTCCTGCCACCTCAGTTTAAATATAATCTTCCTCCCAAGCGGGCAGGAGATCTGCTACTGCTTCCCTCCAGGTCAGCTCACTCTTTAATAGATACCCTCTGCCTGTTTACCTTTCCATTACATCCACCAGCTGCATCTCACTGAGCCCAACTAGTTCCTTCTGCTATATTCTGGAAGAGACAACAGGCAAGCAGAAAAGTAGACAGCTTTGAGAAACAGCAAATGTTGTTTTTCATTCAACATTTCTTTCTCATGATTAGAAACTGTGTAGAAAATAAATCCACATTTAAATGAGTGAGATGTAAAAAACTGTAATAAGAACTTTGCAGTCCTATATTTGTTGGATTTTATTAATGATTTACTAAATATGATGCTCTAAACAAGTCCATTACTAAATGCAGTTGTGGGTACGTGGGTTTATTTAGTAGAAAATGGCATTTATAAAAGATCGTACTTATTGGATTATTCCTAGTTTTTGATCCTTTCCTAACTACTATTCCCTTTTTTTTTTTTCTTTTTCCAAAGCAACTACATTCTCCTTGTGATAAATTACAGAATGAATTTCCTGTATTAGGTAGAACAGTTGCCATAGACCACAACTGATACAAAGTTAACAATTGTGTAGCTGAGGATTTCCTTTACCCTTAATTCTTATTAAATAATACTGTTATTTCTGCAGCATATATATGCCCTGATTAAATATTAATCTGTCATTTTATCTTTTAATTTCTCTAGAGCAATAGAGAGTAGTGTGTGTGTATATATATATATGTATACATTTATACATACACCTAATATGCACTATGAAGAACATGTAACTCCAAAAGTTGGTGTCATTTAATAACATTTTAGTATACCTCCTCTCTGAGAAGATAATGTGTTATAGAATCACTTGGAGTGCTGCTGAATAAATTGAGAGAAAATGCAAAAAATATTTTTTAAATAATAAAAATATTTCATTCAGCATAACTTTATATGAGAAAGCCTTCTTCCATTCTATTTAAAAACAAAGCTATTGAACTGCTAGAAAACTTGTAAATTAATATATTTGGTTTATTAGGGATAAGTATCAAGTATGAGCTTGCCATAAAAAGGTGTTTCTGGTTTAACTCCTTGCACTCCATCGTTTCTTCTACTTTTCTTCTCCAGCATAGTTATGCAGCTATATTGGTAAGCAGGTACGACCACGTGAACGTATGCCAGAAAGTTTCAGAAAGTAGCTTGATTTCCTGCTGTTCCTCACGAGAAGTGGTATTTGTATTCTTATGCACAAGCTATGTGTACTTGACAAAATGAAGCTACTGTGAATATTTTCTTTTAAAGGACAATCATCACTGATGATACCATGAGATTGCCGTCAATCTTGTATCTAGGATATAACCAGCTTCCAGCCAGACAAGAAATCAAGCTCTACAGATTAATTCTGATATGTATTTTGCACTGGGGATTCTGCCGTGACACTTGCACTGGGACAGGGTCATTAAAGACTCAAGGATAAAAAAATGTTATCAGCACTTTGTTATACTTCTTGGTTGCTTTGCTAGCTAACAATTTCTTTATCACTACTGAGCTTATTGGTTACAAAGTGGTTGTGTTTTCTTATTCCCATGGGAAACTTCCACAAAATACTTGGAAGAATATACAAGGGGAGGAGAAACAATTTCCTGTATTCCATGAATATATTAGAAATTACAGCAAAGTCATAATATACATAGTATTTTAAGCAATTTAAATATACTGTTGAAAAGTCACATGTTATTTTTTTTATTTTAATTGAAAATTTGAATGCAACAATAATAGTTGCTGAGGAAATATTTTCCCTTTTTAATGATAAATTTTAGAAGGTGCCATTTGTTCCTGTAAATTTTCAGAACTGTTTGCTAATATAATGATATGCAAAAAGCCTTTAAAGAGTTTACGTTTTGTAATTAGGAGATAATTCATACAAGAAGAAAATAAAATAATCTATTTTATTTTTTCCTTGAGGTACTTCGGTTACACAGGTAACAGCTACAGATGGTGATGATCCTTCTTACGGGAACAGTGCCCGTCTGCTTTACAGTCTTATTCAGGGACAGCCTTATTTCTCTGTGGAGCCAAAGACAGGTACTACAAATGATCTTGTAATCAGTAATCTGGAAAACAGTCATAATGAAACATAAGATGGATGCAAACAAAGATGTCTTTCTTCTTTTCAACACAAAGATCAACTGGTGCAGCCCTATACTTGCACATCTTTGTATAGTCCCTAGATCTAAAAATAAATAAATAAATAAAAATTCTTTCTTTCCCATAGGAAATTAAAATTCTTTACACCTAGAGAATCAGCAACTTATTTAGCAAATTATCTTGCTAAGGAAAAGAGTTGGATTCTGACTACCCCATCCAACAAATGGACCCAGGAACACTTCTGGGTTAACAGCTTTATGGCTCATTATGTGACATTCCTACCTCTGTGCTGGAGAAACCACAGATATATGACATCTTTCCAAAATCCTAATTCTGGGGAAGAAAGAAGGTTATATATTGTAGAGGAGATATGTGGTGGGTTCTGCTATCCAGAACTTTAAGTATGCAGAATGGGTCTGTCATGCAGCCTAAATGTTGCCATGAATAGTAATTCCCAGTATTAGGACAGTTGTGCTGTGCATAGTCTAGAATATAAATTCATAACTGTGTTTAATGGTGCTTTTTATACCCGTATTATATTGTCAAATGTTGGGGGGGGCGGGGGTGCGGAAGGACAAATATGTTATAATATTATACTTTTCATTTTTAGGGGTCATCAGAATGGCTTCCCAAATGGATAGAGAAACAAAAGATCAGTATTTGGTCATCATCCAAGCCAAAGATATGGTTGGGGAAAGGGTGGGGAAAGGGGGGGCGTTTTCAGCACCAGCCACTGTTACCATCAACCTCTCCGACATCAATGACAATCCACCTAAATTTCAACAGCGTGAGTATAAGCTACTTACAGTAGTTCAGGTCTTGAGGAAATTTAGATCTGCTGTAGCTCTACTAAAATCACTAGTAGGTCTTTTCAGAACAGGTCTGTGCTTTAACTCAACATACAGATTTAAATAAAAATAAAATTTAAAAAAATCCCACACAAAAGCTCAAAAACAAAGAGGAAAAGAAAACCTATCATTACAAAAGACCTCAGGCCTGATGTTTTTATCACCAGGGTTTGGAGGGAAATGATTTATTAAACTGCTTTCCATATAGTTTGCCCTACCTAAGCCTAAAATCTGGGCAACAGGATATTTAATACCATTTTCACTCACATTCTTTCTTTTTCTTCTCTCTTCATTCTTTGCTAACAGATACTGTAAGCTCTTTAGCAAATGACGTGACCTTCTCTGTGCAGGCAGTTTCTAGTAGATGTGTGAGGTGCTAGGTGGGCTATCAGGAAAAACTAACGAAATGCAGTTGGGAATTGCTGCTCTCCACTGTTTTCTCAGCCTGTTGGTTCTCCATAGCTCTTTATTTAATGCTAAAGTGGGGCTGACAGAGGAGGACTCGTGAATGGAAAAGTCATCCTCTGCGCCAGAAGATGTATCCATTGCTAGATTAGACTCATTGCTCTAACAAAAGCTGGGGGCTTTCCCCAACTTTCTGAGAGCCTCAGGCTATCATAGCTACAACAGCTAATAACCATGGCAGATCACTAAACTGTGCCAGTATTTGTTTCTTTAGGACTCTACTACATGAGCGTCTCTGAAGAGGCTCCTGTGGGCACTACTGTAGGCAAAGTCTTTGCAGAAGACAGCGACATAGGGGAAAATGCAGCCATGAATTATTTCATTGAAGGAGATAGCTCAGATGTTTTTGACATCATTACTAACAATGAGACTCAAGAAGGAATTGTCTTATTAAAAAAGGTGAGATCTCAGAAACCTTCTAAAAAATCTCTTAATACTGGAAAGAATCTCCTAAAGCAAGCTGGATGTTTAGAAAAGGCCTATTGCTTTGGATTCTACTGTTTTTTCTTTCTTCAGGCTTTGTGATTTGATTAAGATATTAGGGGGGTAAAAAGAAACATGCTTTTCTTTCTATTTACTTTTTTTGACTCATTCCTATTACTTCTGAATAAAATAGTGGCAGTCAAAGTATCTTAATGTTATTCCTAGCTGCGCTATACAGTGCATCCCATTGTGAGAAAATGTTCTATCTCTTCTGTACATCATCTGCAAAATCTTTATCAATAAATTGTGCACTATATTTCCTCACTTCCAACAGCTCTTGTTAAACTTAACTGAAGCCAGAATGTATTACAGTATTAGATAGACAGTGGAGTTTTCGTTATGGCATAGCTTTGAAAAGACACTAAATGCACTCAAAAAGGTACTGGTATATAAATTAAGATATTTAAGAGACTTTGATACTGTGTGATACATTTTGGTATCACATAAGACTTCTGGGTCCTCTGGGTCATCATCTGAAATGATGATAGAGTTTAATAGTCAAGTGAAATCCAGGAGCATAAAGAAACGAATGTTATAAAATTGGTTGGGGTTTTTTGGGTGGGTTTTTGTTTGTTTGTTTGGTTGGTTTTGGTTTTGTTTTTCTATTTGGATATATTACAATTCAGGAAGGTATTAAGTATTTCTTTATTTTATTACAGAAAATAATGACTATCTAAAATAGTAATATAACAATGTGTTTATTAAACACTCATTATTGCCTTCTGGAATTTGTTTCCTTTACAGACTAAATTTTAAAATACTCATTTTAAGCCCTACAGATTAACTGATTTACATTGCTTATGTAAGAATAAAGAAGAGTGTTCACTGAGGTTATTCCTATGTTGGAAATACAAGTACTAATAGAAGAAGTTGGTTTTCTTAGGGCTGACATTCTATGGGAAGACCTTTACAGTGTTGTTTAACTATAAAATTAAAGCCAGCGTACATAGGAAAGTTTACACTGATAGTACAGTGTAATTTAAAAGTGTTTTTTACACTTTAAAAAGAAAACTTAGATATTACTACTTCTGAAACATTCCCAAAAGAAGGATAGCACTATTTTGTCTTTAATCTCACACCACTTATTAAACTGTATTTAGTTCAGATGTGGAGAAAGAAATATTCCAAATTTCACTTACTTTCTTAACAGAGAGTGGATTATGAGAGCAGGAGGAGATACAGTATTCAAGCAAAAGTTGAAAACAGGTACATTGATGACCGTTTTCTGAAAGAAGGACCATTTGAAGACAAAACCATTGTCAAAATCAATGTGGAAGATGCTGATGAGCCTCCAGTTTTCACCTTGGAGAATTACATCATGGAGATTTCTGAAGCAGCTGTGACTGGCTCGTTGGTGGGCGCTGTAACTGCCAGAGACCCAGACGATGATGACTGTCCAGTCAGGTATCTAACTTAAAATTGAACAGGCTTCAAATATAAATGTGGTTGAGATTTGAAAAGGCTATTTCTGTTCCTTACCTTGGTTCATTATTACAATTAATCATGCTTCCATTGTGATAGCCTAGGTTTTCCTAGGTGTTGTGGTTTAACCTCAATAGGCAGCTAAGCACCACACAGCTGCTTGCTCACCCTCCCAGACACTGGCATGCAAGAAAGTATCAGAAGGGTAAGAGTGCAAAAACTCATGAGTTTAGATGAAGGCAGCAGAATAATAAAACAGAAGAAAAAAATAAAACAACAAAGGGGAAAAAAATCCCCACAACAAAACCCCAAGAAAAACAAGTGATACAAAAAAAATCTGAAACAATTGTTCACCACCAGCCAGCCAATACCCAGCCAGTCCCTGAGCAATGGCAGCCCTGACCAACTTCCACCCCTCCTAGTTTTATTGTTGAGCACAATGTCACATGGTATGGAGTATATGTTTGATAAGTTGGGGTCAGGTGTCCCAGCTGTCTCCTCTCACAACTTTTTGTGCACCCTTAGCCTATTCACTAGTGGGGAAACATGAGAGACAGGAAAGGCCATGATGCTATGTAAGCACTGCTCCATAATAACTAATACATCCCTCTGTTGTCAACACTGTTTTGATCACCAGTCCAAAACATAACACCATACTACCTACCAACTACTATGAAGAAAATTAACTCTATCCCAGCAAGAACCAGTACACAAGGTTAAATCCTGCTCCCTAGCCCAAAAACTAAATAAACGAGCTTTGTTTGTGTACCTTTGCAATAATTTGAGATGGAGTAATATTTTAAACAGCAGCCTGGAAAAGGCTGTGCACAACAGCAGAGTAGAGTACTGCAGCCAAACCTGTATGTGGCTGGAGGTGTTCCCAAAAAACTTCTGGAAAACTTCTCATTGCTGGGAGGGAGACACAGAACAGCTCCACTGGTATCTGCTCAGCTCAGCATGACCAAAAATTTACCAATTCCCTACATCTATCACAATCACTCCATTAAGATATTATACAAAAAGAGTCCCCAGGCTTTTAATTTTGCAAAATAATTTTGTTCTTTCTTAAGGGAGAAAGCAGATAATTAATCTTTAACAGGGGGTTTATAATTAAAATAGCTTGAGTTACTTGACATCACTGTTTACTGTGCAAATTAGACAAGCTAGGTTGCAGGGATAAATGAGACACAAAATAACTTATGTTGTGTATATTAGCTTACCAGGTTCCCAATAGCAGAAATTTTATATATATACATATATGTGTGTGTATATATATATATCTACCTATAGTTAGGACTGCATAAGTTAGCCAATGCAAGACCATTTGCTATGATTTTGGATTCACCCACTGTTATTTTGTAAGCTAGTCAAAGGTTAAATTAAATAAAAATAAAGAAAAATATACATGTACTTCCCCCCCAAAAAAAAAAAAAACAAAAAACTTGTTTTGTGGTTTATTTAGATGTCTGTAGCATCTCCTATGAAACATTGAAATGCAGTGTACATCCATGACTTCTTAGTTGGAAATATTTTGCTGGAACTTGCTACAAAATGAATATGTCTGCATGGTTCCAAAACAGTGACACGTATATTGCATTATGGACTTTCATTAAAATAGAGCACGTTGCTTATAATGTAAAGATATATTTACGGCATATGAGCATTCCAAACAGGAATGGTAAGAACGTTTCAACTCTCCAAACAGGTTTTAGTTCCATAAAATAGACTCTACTAGGAACTGCGACAGTCTTTTATATATGTTGTGAAAAATTTTAGTAAATATCCTTTCCATTTGAACCAATATTGGTGTCTTTTTCAGTCCATCTCTGGCCTGTGACCAGTAGTTAAACTTTAACAATTTGAGTGGTATGTATATTGTGTACATGTGTATGTGCATCTCTGCATACAAACATAGTATCCAGAGCCTTTTAAGTGAAGACTCAAGAACACTGGATTCATTTGCAACCATCTCCTGCATTAGGATTTTGTACTCTACTTAGGTGACAACTCATTACAGATAGTTGTCTATCTCTCTTTATAATGCCTGTTCCCTTGGCATCAGAGCATGCCAGCAATGATAAAATAGATTTGCCATTATACTTCCACTTAGCTGTTAGTGTTATTCATTTCACAAATGGCACTTTTGCTGTTTCTTTTCAATGAAGTCATTCACCTGCTGTGAGCCTGACTTAGAAATAAGAATGAATAATGCATTTCAGATTCAGTTCAGATTAATACAGATCTGAGACATATTTAGTTTTATAAAAAGAAGAGCTTTGATCTTGGCAGCATTGAATTTTAAATGTTTATAAGTGTACATTTTTCATGATTTCTGGGTTGTTACAGCACGCATTTATATGTATATATGCATAGCTCTGTTTTCTCAACTGACAATAGCTTTCTATGTCTTTGCTTCTGATGGAACATTTCAGTATTAGGGAATCTCTTTACTTTTTTGGGTGCAGGTATTCTATTGTCCATGGCATGCATTTAAAGAGATTGTTCAGCATCAATGAGTACAATGGAACAATCATTACAACTAAACCTCTGGACCGAGAGATAGCTTCTTGGCACAACATAACTGTTACAGCCACAGAAACAAGTGAGTAAGATATTTAAGGAACGCTGTGTTTTATATACTGCAAACTGTAATTATCCTCTGAATATGCCTTCTTTTAAGTGGAGGATACGTGCTTCTTTCTCATTATATTACTGTTGCTTGCCACATTAAGAAGCATTATTAAAATGATTAGTTAAATAGAAACGGAATATATTTGAGCTCCAAGGTCCTATGCTTTCATAAAAGATGACCTTATGAAAAAATAAAGGAAAATATAATAGGATTGAGACTGTAACTCTTTCAAGTTACACTGAAGCATATGAATTGCTCCTGCAGTGCAAGATCTTATGTTAAATTAGAACCTGGTTAATTTCAGCCCAGATTTTTGACTAGTGTGAAATTAGCCAGGGTCTAATTTAATACCAGTCAGAAACCTGTGGCTCATTAATTGTGAATGTAAGACCTAAATCAGCTAGATTTCTCTTCAGTGAAGTTAAATCTGTGAAGTATCCTTTATATAAATTTCACCTGTCAGTTTGATTTGAAAGTCAAATGCAAATTGCCTTTGTGCTTTTGGTGATCTGGTTGCCCTAACTCTGGGACAACAGTCTAGAAAATTAACAGATACTGATTTATAAGGCAGTTTAACAGGATTATTGAGATATTATTTAAAAATTAATCACATCCATCCTAAGGAAGGAGAAAAGACACGAAACTATAGTCCAATCAATAAATCAGGTTTTGACAAATATTTTTAGTATGTTTTTTTTAATCCTGAACCTCAGTTAAATGCTATTTATTGCTAAGACTACTTTAAACACATATTTATAAATTGCACTCTTCCCAAAAGGGAGCATTGCCTGTGTGTATGCAGAGTATTACTGCTAGAATTTTAATATAGGATAGCCAGTAGCTGTTTTCATTGAAGTCCTTATTTTCTGTTTGGGAATTGATAGTATTTTCTTCTTTTTCATCTTTGTGAGTTTTTAAGCATGAATGTATTTTACTTCTCATGTTGTTGGGCAGCTGGCAGGTGTTGGTAAAATTGATCTCTGGCATATTTTTGTCATGTCTTGCATAGCGCTATGGAAACATAGCAGGATGACTTCAGTCTGGACTTTTATGTTTAGTTAAACAATAAAATAGGACAGAACCAAATGGTACAAATTAACAAGTGTCTCCTGCAGCAAAAGAAAGCAAGTCTTTCACAGTAATTCAAGATATTGTAGAGAAACTGAGCCCTCATTATTTTCATATTCTTATTCTTTATTTCTTTAATGATGATAAGGTCACTGTTTATAACACTATATTCAAAAGCATTGAAGTTAGGTCACCTTGGTCTGGGCATACCTGAAATGATTTATATTATGAACTAATAGCATTTTATTCCTTTAAATTTAGGCATAACATTCACTATGTGTACGAGACATTTGGTGGATGACATTGCGGCTCCCTTGAAGCCAAATCAAAATGTCATTAGAGTTCATCCACAAAATATATTAATTGCAGCTGAGAGATATTGAAACTGCATTACAACAGCAACCTCCCTAGGGGGCTATTGAGGTCCTGGCACTCATAAAGGACACGAGCCTTTTGCCTCCATTGCAATAACACAGATCAGAGATTAGTAAAAGAAGCTTGTCTCTGTTATTGCAGACTCGTGGTGTGGATCATCCTATCCCCACGCCATTGAGATAACATGATTTAAAGGTACGCAGAAGTAGATTTAATTCATTGGACCTTAAATGCAAGCAGTCAGAACCTGCAATCTGTTGGGGATTATTCCACTTTATGCCTAAAACAGTTCTAGCTCAAGAGAAATCAAGTTTTCTTTGATCAGTTTTTACTTGATTATAATCAGTTTCCACCTAGTACAAGGCTGAAGCATAAACAACAGCATTCTAACCATACATGAGCAGGAAATCCTTAAGTCATCAGCTTTACTCTAACACTGATTTAATGAGTCAGATGAAGATTGACTGACAATTAATTAAATTAGATGAGGAATATCTGCTTCAGCTTTCTCTCTGTTGAACTATAGATGATCAACAAAAATTCACAGTAACAGCAACTGGTTTGAGCTTAGTTGGGTCCTTATTTCTCTATATGCCCATTGGAAAAGTGCACTACCAGTCAAAAGCAAACTTACCGACAAGTGACAACAGTCATTATCCCACTGGGTCTTGCAGATGTCTTTTCATACTGGGTTCCAGATCTACTACATGACTACAGAACTTAGAGATCTTTGAAGGTTTCAGTCATGGATCATATAATTAATTCAATATTTAATTGTTACCCCTCTTTGGTCATATATACTTTTGACAGATTTCTAACTTTTTAGATTAATCTCTTTTTATTAAGAAAAAAAAAATTGTGTCCATTTCTTTTAGGTAGTAAAGAAATTTGCTTTAGCCTAAATTATAATTATAAAAAACTATTATTATTACAAAAACTATTCTTATTACTATAAATTTCATTTTATTGCCTGATGACAATGCTAAGCTTTCTTTAAAATTTCTTTAAGTATTGAATTCTACTTTGTGTCTAAAGATGGTCACTGCTTTTCTTTACACACAGCTCCAAAATAAACAAGTTGCTAATTTTTGTCCCTGGTAATTAAAACACTGACTTCATTCTTGACAGTGATCCAGCCTATTGATATCCAGTTCTCTCAGACCTTTTTTTCAAGTTCTGATTTCTCTCATTGGAGTTTATGACAAAGAAATTTTCTACTCATTGAAAGATCTTTAGCCTAATGCAGGATAAGTATAACAGCTGTAATCAAATTCTGACAACTACTTTTCTATTTAAGAGGTAGAAGTCAAAATAAGTATTGTCTACCGTCTTCCCCAGTCACAACCAAAGGAGTCATTCTGCTTCATCCAAAATCTTCATTAAATATTTACCAGACACTGATTCCAAATGTGGCTTTGTAATGTGTTGTTCTCTCCCAAAACAAAATACCTGTGATTTAAGAAAAATTAAAAACTTCCATGAAGTTGTCTTCCAACAGCAATGTGAGAAATGTTATTCCTTGTCATTTAACTATATGCTGAGGTAAAAACAAAACAAAACAACAAAAAACCCACAAGACAACAACCCAAATATAGTAAGGAAGTAGAAACAAGAGAATTACCAAAGATAAACTTAAAAAGTGTTATTCAGTGAAAGAAAACAAATGTGAATGACAGCTCTAGCTGAAAGGTGCTATCTAAATATTTGTGCAGGTAAAGATAGTCTTTAAAGCCAATATAGTATCCAGGAATCATATGAACAAGGAAGTTAGGAATAGGCCAAGGCAGCTTGGTCCTTCCCATACCATTTGTATATGACTGAAGACAGCAAAGGTATTCTCTGCCTCCTAACAAGTGTTACAAAGTTTTCCTCTCAATGCCAATCCAGCCAAATCTCATCCAATTCTGACTTAAGTAAAAAAGGTTAAGTCGTATACTCTCGGTATTATTTACGAAAGCTATGTGTGCTACTTTTTATGTTGATTTAAAAAATAAGCTGAGCACTGTTTCATAGCCTATTTTATTATGATGATGTTGGGATTCAACAAGAGAAATGTCATCCCACAAGGAAGTATTTTTGAGATGACTCTGACAGATCATAAGGTTTGGTAAACACAGGATGAGCAGCAATGCGAAACTGCTGAGTATCTAGCCCTTTATCTCTCTGGTAGTTGCTTTGCTACCATTTCCTTTGGCAAAAGACTCAAAGCTATCAGCACAGATTCCATAAGATCCAAGAAAACAAACGTTTCCTCCAAGCAACTAGTGAATTATACATTAAAAAAAGCAATGTAAGAACCAACCAAACCCATACAATTTGAAGTAAGGGAAAAAGGAATACATTTTGGTTTTGTCTTAAATGCCCATTTGACTAATTTAAGAAAATACTTTAAGGACTTCTTGAACAGGTCAGAAGCAGCGACACCCATCATGGGGAACAGAATCATAAAATCACAGAATGTTGTGAGTTGGAAGGGACTCACAAGGTTCACCGAGCCCAACTCTTGCCCTAGCATAGGACAATCACAAGATTCACACCATGTGTCTGAGGCCATTGTCCAAATGCTTCTTGAATATCGTCAGACTTGGTGCCACGACCACCTCTCTGGGGAGCCTGTTCCAGTGCTCCACCACCCTCTGCGTGAAGAACCTTTTCCTAATGTCCAACCTAAACCTCATCTGGAACATCTTTCTACCATTTCCTCTGGTCCTATCGTTGGTCACCAGACAGAAGAGATCAGCACCTGCTCTTCATCTTCTCCTAGTAAGGAAGTTAGACTGCGATGAGATCTCCTCTGGGGAGAGGTGCCCTGGGGAACACCAATAGTGACCGGCCGCCAACTGTACTTATATCCTTTCACCACACCTCTTTGGGCCCAGCCACCCACCCAGTGTTTTAGCTAGAGGAGAGTACGTCCACACAAATAATGCGCAGCCAGCTTCTCCAGGAGAATACTCTACCTCCAGATCTTCCTTCCCTTTGTTTCAGGTGACATTATGAACATTTTTGTTACATAGACAAATAGTGTTTTTAGCCTAGTCTACACACAACTTTTGTACCATGAAACTAGGGTAGTTAGGTCTGGCTTTTCTTTGTCTGAGGTAGTTATAGTAACGTGACTTTGTGTAAATTTCATAAATGCAGGAAAAATGTGCCTTATATTAGCAGAGTTTATTTTCTTTTTCATACAGGAACAAGCCACACTGACATAGCTTTTGTATCTAAACCCACAGGAATAAAGTGGCTTTAGATATATACAATAAAGTATACTTGTATAACAGAAGCACAGAAACTGTATGCTTCTATAAGTATAAAATGCTTAAGAATTAAACCTCTTGTGCAAACTTAGAACAAAACTATAAGATCGGTCTAAGAAGTCTGTGAGCAGTAATGCCTTAGACGTGCCTGGGCAAAATCAGACTTCTTTGCAAGTATGTGTTTGGAGACCTGTGGATAGAAAAGTTTTGTTGGTCCAAATTAAAAGTCTCAGCTTTCTGCCTTGGCTACAGTTGAGTATCGGTGTCCACTGCAATTACTCCATGTCTAGTAGTGGCAGAAATATTTTTAAAGCATGGGATTTTTGGTGAAATTTTCTCACAAATCTTCAAAATTTCAAAATACTAAAGAAAAAGAAGAATGACAGAATTTCTTAAAGAATTGTGAACAATCGTTGTGGTACCCATGATGTTAAGTGATGTAAGAAAGCACATCTACCTCCTCCAGACACTCTGGCCCAGGAGCCTCCTGCCCGGATGCTGGAGCCCAGCCCAGTGCCCAGGAAACAGAGGCTTCTGCCCAGGCTCAGAGATGCAGCTGATGCTTTCCTGTTTGCAGACTCAACTCGTAGCAAAGTTAAGCGCATGTCCCAGAGATGTGCACACACAGACACAGAGGACATTGACATGGTTGGTCACACAGACCTTCAGCTGCCTTCAGTAGCACCTACATGCAGGACTCACATAAACCACAAGGACAGACAGCCAAGTCCCCTCCTCTTCAGGTGGAGAGGCAGAAAGTCACTGGTGCAGGCACACACATGCACACACACAAGACACTCTCCAGGTTCACAAGCACACATACAGTCATGGATCCCTTCAGTAACTGCACAAATCCTCTGTTTGCCTAGCACCACTGCCCAGACCCCAGGTCCTCTTATCCCCTTCTTGGGTTCCCAATTTGCCGGCTAGACCACGCTTGATGCTTGTTGGCAAACCTGCGGTACTCACAAATCCCTGCTGAGCATACCAGCATGGACCCCCCTGAGCACCTGGCCTGGACCCAAGGACCCCTTGCTCACTCTTGAGTCCAGCTTAAAGTTTGCTAACAAAAATACACACACACACACACTCTATGCATATCTGGCATGGGGAAGATATAGCTATTTGTCCCCTCTGCCCCTCACTCCAGTAGCTGGTACTACGGGCTGGGGCACACACACCTTCATCTGTCTGCAATAGCTGGCAACAATTTTAATTCACACATATGCAGGACTCACCAGTAGCTGGTACTTAGTTCCTGCAGCGCACATACACATCCAACAACAGAGAGTGAGGTTATGCAGAGAGATAGCTAAGAAAAGATTTAATGAGAAGATATATGATTGGAGTGACTGGTGATCGGGTGCAGGACTCAGACAAGCATACTGAATGGCCCTGTTTTGCATGCAACTAGCACCTTTTTTTATATCCCTTTCTGTCTTCCTCCTTTTTGATCCTCCCTGCACGTCCCCCATGGGTCTGTAGAGCTCCATTGATTCCTGCACCCCTCCAGATCTGAGGCCCCTCTGGTTGTACAGTCTTTTCAGTTGGCAAAGTCCAGACTGATCTACCTGGAATAGTTGCCCTGTGGTTTCTGGATAGCCCATCAATTATTGTAAGGTTTGCTTCTTGCCATTGTCTCCATGTTTGCTTTGTCAGGTCTATGCCTTGATATATTTTGTTTCTGTTTTCCCCTTTTTCTTCTTTGGTTTCCCAATGGACAAGGTCCTGGTCTGATAATCTCGCAAGAATAAACTTTCTCACACTCTCACATGTCCCCATCAATTAGTGCATCTGACCAGGTCTGGTTCTCATCATTCCCTCCCTTAGAATTTGTCCTTCAGGTTTCTGTCCCTGTATGTTCTTGTTTATGGCTTTCTCCTTTTCTTAACTTTAGTTACATTGAATAAGGTCCTTGACCAGATACGCTTAGAGGAGCAGACACTGTCCTTCCACATAACCTTACAGATGACTAGTACAGTAAAGTGTTCTGCATGAACAAAACCTCTACAGATCAGATTAACAGAACCACAGTAAAGAAAGAAAGTGTCCTTTATATGTACAAGAAACATTTGAATTTATTAAAAAGATTTAGTATAAAATGTGTCTGTAGGTCTTGGTGACTATTTTCTTCTCTGCAGAATATAAGTAAAATTTTCTAATGGCTACATTAGTTTAAAGTACGTAGTAGAATATAACTCTTGGTTTGTGTCTTTTTTTAAACATTAGGAAATCCTGAAAAAATTTCAGAAGCAAATGTGTATATTCAAGTTCTTGATGTTAATGATCATGCACCAGAGTTCCCTAAATATTATGAAACATTTGTTTGTGAAAATGCAGTTTCTGGCCAGGTAAGTGTGAAGGAGTTAGCCATCAGTCTTCTCATTACAATGAGGATTTGGTCTGAGATGTCACTACTTCCTTTAATATTATTTCAGTGCTGTGAGTACAGGCTGTCTTTTGTCTATTTCCAAAAATAGTTCTGTTGATAGTATGTATAGTTTGAAATTTAGATTTCAGAAGACAGATGTGTATTTTTCCTCCCTTTAAAATAAAATCAGTAAAGCTCCTTGTTTATCTACCAAAACCAGGTAACAAAGAAATATAGGCATAGACTTCTGAAAGAAACAAACAATGTAAACCATAGACTTGATTCATGTTCATGTCACAGAAATTAAAACTAGGCCTGGTATTTACAAAAACAGCACAATGTAGTTGAGAAGAACTGGACTTAGACCAGATTCAAACCATATTCATTTTGTACTTTGTTTAGAATTCATTTATTGTGAACTGAATTCAAACTGTCTAGTTCAGTGGAAATCTGAAGATGTTTAAGTCACAGCCCTTGCAACACCTTCCCTATTTGGCAGTTTATGGAATTGTCATATTAAGTATCCTTCCCTGGATGTTTTTGGTTTGGTTTTTTTTGGGGGGGGGTTTGGTAAAACATGTAGGTAACAGTTTGGTTTGCAGAAAGATCAGAAGTAATTAATTTTTACTTTTTTTTCTTTTTTTTCTTTTTCCCCCCATTTCCTACTCACTCCTGAGGGGAATGGGGTCATACCAGTCAGCTGCCCTAACCCCCCAGGTACGCTGCTGACTCTCCATTTGCCTTCAACCACTTTCCTCTACAGCTTAAGTGATCCAGTTCTACAGCCTAAGCTCCAAACTGTGCAATAAGCATGCTGCCAGGCTCCACACAGGCATCTAGAAGAAACATGCCAAATAAAAAACAGGATATTTGATGGTTGTTTTTTTTTTTTTTTTAAAGTACAAAATGAGCAACAAAAAAGCAACAACAAAAAGCTACAGACAGAAAAATCTGTATGTTTTTTTCACCACTTTAAAGCAGTCATGGTATCATAGAACAGAATCATAGAATCAGATTAGAAAAGACCTTTAAGATAGAGTCCAACCATAATTCTAACACTACTGATTCTACCTCTAAACTATGTCCTGAGCACCTTGTCTACCTGTCTTTTAAATACCTCCAGGGATGATGACTCCACCACCTCCCAGGACAGCCTGTTCCGAAGCTTGACTACCATTTTGGTGA